AACCACACTATGCTTAGCTGTCAATCAAAGACCGCTGGTACGACCTGCTAAAATGGATGTGACTTCATTTACCATATGCCAACACAAAACTACATGTTTGCGACGCAAAATACATTCCGCCAGCTCATCGTGGGGCTTTTCCATGAGACGACAACGAGGCGCTCGAAAGCAGCCACAGCAGCAAAAAGCCCCGGTCAAGTCAGATTTTTTTATTTAAAAAAAAAAATACATAAAAAAAAAAATCTTCTGGCAATGTCTGCGTGACGTGCGCACACTCAAAGCTGACAATGAGGCGTTCTAAGGCGGCCACAAAAGGAAAATGTAATTTAGGGGTGTAGACAGAGTGAGCCAGCGAGCTAACAGCCTAGCCTATCTCAATTATGTCGGATAACCGCTGACACAAACAAGGGTGAATGGCGGAGGATGGTGGACGACTCATGCTCGGATTAGGGTGGGTCACAGTGCCCCGTTTTAATCTCTATTTCCACTCTTATTGATCACACAATCAGGTGATTCATTGGTTACCCAACCCTGTAATAAAATGTACTCTGACACAAACATCCAAATGCTTCGTGTTGATTTTACATTCGAGGATGACTGATGGAATGTGTGTGTGTGTGTGTGTGTGTGTCAAATGAGGAAACAAAGCAAAGCATGTGTGTGTGTGTGTGTGTGTGTGTCAAATGAGGAAGGAAACAAAGCAAAGCAAAGCAAAGCAAAGAAAAAAAAAAAAGGTCCCAAGATGTAAAAACCACACAAATGAGGTTTACCCTGGGAGGGTCTGATGTGTCACTTATTGGCAATGTGATGTGTTTACAAGCTAACTGTTGCGCGCGTGTGTGTGCTGTAATAGGGCTTGAGGAAGTGTGTTTGAACATGTGCTTGGGCGTTGCCCCTTTTCCCCCCCTGATCATAAAAGGCCGTTGGCAGTCTTTCTCGTTGCCAAGTGGTAATCTCTGGTCTTGGGCATGGTATGGCCAGGAGCCTCCTTCCGTGCAGAAATTTAGCAAAACTAGACCCAAAAAAAGTCTAAATCGAATTTATCGACGACTTTCATATACATATATTTCATTTGCTGTCTCCCACGCCGCTCACCAGGCCAGGCCCCGTCTTTTAAAGCCACACACATTCAAAGTCACACATCTGGAGTGGATCAACAATAACCTCACCTCACAAGCACATTTAGTTAGATAAGGGGGGAACCACCCCCGAATAATCACGTCTAAAATGCACTTTGCCACCATCTTACCTTTCTTCACCTTCTTCTGTAGTTTGACTGTATCGGACGACTTTTTCTTGATATCTGCTCGCGCCTTTTTGTACTCTTGAGGTGAAGAAAAAAAAAAGTTATGTGAAGGAGGGTGTTGCAGAGTGGTGTGGGCACATCTTAGGTGTCCAGCTGGCAAACCTTTGGCGTGATCTTTATCCAACTGACTGGCTGCTTTTCTCCACTCCTCCATCTTCAACTCTAACGGTGTAATGAGACTTTCCGAGAGCGCTCTGGGAAGGGGAAAAAATGTCTTCATAAGTCGCCTTTTGGGAGACGTTCACGTGCTAGGCGGCAGTCTTGCTTTTGTGTCCGTCTTTCCAAACACTTGAGCTTCTTCACAGCGCAATGCCATGCATTTTTCACTTTGTCGGGAGCCACGCCGGGGGACTAATTGACGGCAATAACCGAAGATAGCTGAAATATGTGACGTCGGGAGTGAATGTTTACGCCGTGTGAAGCGATCTGCAATATTTGCCACAAATGTTTGTTTGCGGAAACATTTGTTAGCCAACTCCGTTTCGACATTAATTGCTCCGCTTTTTCGCCGTGCCAAAGCAGAGATTTGAGGCTTGCTCTTGAGACACTCTTAAGTTGAAGTGCTACTGCACTTGAAAGCTGGCCCGAGCTCACACTGCACAGCAGGCCATCCTCTAATTGAAGCGACGCTCTCTTACGACAACAAATACAAGCCGCCTTTTGATATGAGCAAACGTCAGCTCGCAGCAAATGGCCGTCTGGCGCTCCCACTCTCAGATAAAAAGATGTCATGAGACCCACTTTCCCCCTCGGGTACATAAATACATCCCATGACACCTGCGACTGTGTGTGTGTGTGTGTGTGTGTGTGTGTGTGTGTGTGTGTGTGTGTGTGTGTGTGTGTGTGTGTTTCTTACGTCGTGAAAAGTTTGAGTTTAGACTCAATGCTGCGGTGTCTCATACACATCCTGGTTAGCGCTGAGCCAATCTCCTTGGTAGCTCCTGAAAAAACAAATGTCACATAATTATTTTACATTCCTTGTAGAGAACCGGTGTTTCATGTGTGTGTTGAGAAAAAAAAAATGGAGATCGCACTAAACTTTCCCATATAATCACCAAATGTGGCTCATTGATTGTTAAATCGCGCCCCAAGTGAAGGGCAGCCATTCACTTTTCAGGGTAACAACGGAGGAGTAGAACGGCGTCTTTGCGGGATGAACGCAAGTTATTTATGGGGAACATACAGCATCGTGGCACGTCATCTTTGATGAAGTCCCAACGAAACGGCACCGCAACGTTAGAGCGAATGGGCTGGTTTGGATCATGAAAGAACACGGAAAAAGAAGTTGCTGACTCATGGATGGAAATTATGTAAAATGTCGATGGCGAGCGGTGGGGGTGAGAAAACACCAATGAAAGAGGCGCAGCTTAGGCAAACGAGAGCATTCATGCAAAGGCACCAGGAAAAAAAAGAGGAAGTGATGTAAGCCAACGCAACTTCCTGCATTTGTCATTCATAATCTTTCTGGGCTCGCGCGCAAACCATACACAACGCCTGGGCAAAGGACACGGCGAGGCGTGTTTGGTTTAGTTGCCTTGGCCTCCTTGTGGCACTCGAGCCATCAAAGGGTCTGCTGCCGTTTGACTCCCGCCTGGTACACAGAACACATTTTCCGCTCCAGGCGATTCAAATCAGGACAGCGGTTATTCACGGGACAGCACGATAGAGCGCTGTAAAAGGCGGCGTTTTCTCAGCCGGTTTCCCGCATCTTGCGCTTCTCAATAAACAGTACAAAAAGCGACTGGGGAGCTGTACTCGTGCCCCTGTGTGATGTCACGTCAGTATGTGCTCGTACGTTATTTTGGCTAGCATACTAGCTAACAATATTGATGAGCCCCATGTGATGGTGGTTAGTTTGTGCTGAATAATCAACTCAACTCCTGATTACAGCCATTTATGTACCATGGGCTCATGATTGTGTACCTGTTAGATGCAAGGCGTTGACGCTTTGCTGATTATACCTCGTAAGTGTTGACCAGAATAAATAAATCAAAGGTTATGATTACATTTTCAAGAGCATTGCCATGATTTTGTGGCATCTATGGGCAATTACAAACATTTCTTGGGGGGGGGGGGGCATCAGATGTTTGCAGATTTGGGCAATATGCGGCAGAGCTCATCCTTATGACCTGCATCGAGTGATGATTTGCTGAATCTGGTCGAAGGTGGCCCCGTGGCTGTGTAAAAGGGGACACACCATTGCTACAGTAGCCCATTCAGGAAATAAAAATGGTTCTTCTGTGGGATTTCCTGATACTGGAGGATTTCATTTTTGCCGCTTAAAGACATCGACGCAAGCCTCCCCCTTCGCCCAGCATCACAACGGAACAGCCCGTCTGTTCATCACGCTCCGCGATGGACAAACACTGGGCTGCTGAATGGAACTGCATGGAGAAGTGAAAGGAAAATAAGCTGCGCTCGTCATTTACAATTTCCCTCCTGAGAGGGAAAGACAGAGGACAAACTGTTCAGCGGCCTCACCGACGCCACATTTTTCCGGCCTCGCTCTCCCGCCGCTCATAACGCGACTCATTCAACGGCAGCTTGTCCAGGTGTGTGCGTTGTGAAAACCGCGTCGCCGTGGCAATGTGCCCCATATCGTGGCGCAACTCGCCGAGCACTCACAGTAACGGTCCGAGTTGGAAAGAGCGACAGAAACGGAACGCAACACCTCATCAATCGTCCTGTCTGCTTGCATTGATCCGCTTATTGATTGACTGACCAGCCTGTCAGGATGAGGTAACCGCCGTCCTTCAGTCACTGACCTTAGGAAACTTTCATAATGGCCCGTCAGCACCTTGTGTGTGTTTACTGTTTGCTTTGGAAGAAGAAAAAGAAAAAAAAAGCCCCATGATGCCGAAGACGTGAACTGGTCCTGCGCTGCCATGGTGATGAGTCACGCGGAGCACCACGGAAGGGAAAGAGGAAAGACTTTTTTTTTTCCCCATCAGCTGATGATGACAATAATTCTGATATGATGAAATGTAGAGCTTTTGGTTTTGCAATCCGGTGCTTTTTGTTGTTTGCCAGCTTCCCAAACCAATTAATTTTGTCTTGACAAACCCTTCAACGCACAACGCAATCACTTCTTGGGGACCGATTCCGAGACCATCCGAATATGCTGTTTTCAACCAGATTCCGGATTCAAGTTCAATGTTGGGGTTGGAGGTTGATTTGACGGGAATTCCGATTTGACAACCAAATTAGATCATGCATGGTTTCAATATCGACACTGTAGTGTTGTTGAAACAAATTGTCGCTGTCAGACATGCGACCATGGCGCAATCCAGCTCCTTAAGTTGGTGTGTGAAACCGTTGCTGGGGTTTTGTGTAAGAAGCAAAAACCAGCTGATCATATGCTACAACTCTGAAGCCGGCAATTTTGTCCAAATTCCGAGAACACTTCTGATATCTGTCTGATATCATACACACGCAAGCAGCCCAGAGACACACGCGACATCATCCAGCGTCAACGAGACACGGCGACGCCTCGCGGCTTCTATTTGTGGCCACAGATCGATTGTGGGTCAATCAATGACCTGACACATTGGGACACTGGCTCACACTTTGTCCGCTTAGAGAAGCCATGTAACCTTGTTAGAACAATGAATATAGGCAATTCGAAATATTTTTAGAATTGCCTATATTCATTGTTAGTGGTGGTGGTGGTGGTGGTGGGGGCTCCTCACAGGAAAGTCTGTAATAGTTGTCAGAAAGTGTTAACTTGTGTTTTTTTCCTCAGTCAGCTGTTGCGCTGCTATTGAACAAACGTACTCGGACAAAGCAGCTGACGAGCTAAAGTAGTGGCCCGGAGAGAATGAAGGAGGAGGAGGCAGCTGTCTAAACACACACACGCACACACACACATTCGCACACACACGCACACGCACACACACACACACAGACGCGTGGGGGAATGTGCTCGGTCAACATGTACACACGCGTGAAGGCCCCCATTATCCCAGCTAACGCTTAGCTAACAGCTAACAGATGGCGGCGGTTCTATTTGCGAGCGGAGCTAAAGCAGATCAGTCGCCGGGCGGCGATTCCCACCATTGGATTGCCATCGCCGCCATATCAAAGAGTTGGACGGTTGCAACAACACGGACGCAAGGTTAAGGACATGCTATTTATTTGACCCGGCAGCCATGTTTACTAGTCTTGAAGGTTTGCTCAATCCACATTTCTGGGGTGGAAATGAATACCCGTGTGTGTAATTCCAAAGGTACTATGAAGGTATATCTACCCTGTCGCTAAGTTTGAGATCATGGATTCTCTCCCATCCTGAATTCTGGCTGGGTTGGCAGCGAGAAAAACCTTTTAAATTCAATGAAATGGTTCACATGTAATCTAGTGGACAAAGTTTTACCATTTGTCCAAGAAAATAGACACCAAAAGAAGTTTGCGAGTGAATCAGCAAAACAAAGCAACTATTTTCACAAAGTATATCAGCGTCTGGCTCGATTGATCCATCTGCTGATGGTATGAGCATGTGTTCAAGACATGTCTTCGGAGAAGGTCTTTGGACTGGCGCGTGTTGAGTAATGTGACCCGTAAAACTGACTAAAATCAGTGTTTAAAAAAAAAGACTCCTTTGTTGTTTGCTCATAATGATTTCGAGTGATGACGAGCCCTTAAACCCCCCAAGCAAAGACATTATGCTGCCATCAACAAACATTTTCAAAAAACACAATTTCTGTTTTTGCCTTTTGTTCACATCTTGTCTGTGAAATTCAGGTTTGTAAACCGCTGTAATGACTTAACAAATCCCTAGGGAAGGTGGCGGTGTATTGCTTTGGATTTGAGACCAGCACAGCTTTTGAGGGGAAGAACAAAAAAGTGGGGGTCAATCTCAGCGTGTCAAGTCAATTATGAGGGACAGAAATCCCAACCCAATGAAAGTTGGACACGTTTGAGGCACCTAACACTTGAACAGCGTATGTACCGGACACGTATGGTACTAAAACAGTATTTGTCACAATATGTAACAAAAGTCCGAGTACAAAGTAAATGTTTTTTTTTTTGTTTTGTTTTATAGTTTGAACATTTACAGAGATGTCCACTTGTATGTCTTTCTGTCACTCTTCCAGTCTCTCTGTTGCACTCTTAAGCTTAGTGTCTACTTCCTGTTTGAAGGCGCACAATGGCGAGGCACTGTTGATCAACTGTTAGGTGTGGTCAGGATCTCGACATCAGACACGAAGACAATGTACAGTATAGGACGCGTGTCTGGCAAACAAGTGTTTACTCTTTTTTTTTTTTTTTGTTTTTTTAAACAAACATTCGGGCATGACAGAGCAAGCCTGCTGGTGCTTCTGTTGCCGCTGCTTCCTTGGATGGGAGCAGCCATAATTCGCTCCCCTGGCACTCCCGCTCCCACATGCTGGATTTCATTTGAATACCAACCGGTCTTACATAATCACAGCAACCGTCTTAAGACTCCAGCTCGGGGCTCCCCGTGCGCAGCGGAAAAAATAAAAACAGAAGGGCTTTGGGGTTGCTCAAGTGTTTGTTTTTACCTCTGGATCCCATCGCCATGTCGGCGACCTTCTGAAAAGCATCCAGGAAGGCGCCCGTCACCAGGATGGTGGTCCTGAATAGTGGGACAGACACACACGGGTAACATGTAATATCTAAATACAAAAGTGACAGCGATTCGGTGCATGATTGACAATCGACTTCAGATCTGTGGAACCTCTAAGATGGAACCGAAATAGAATGCCATACATTGCGTCCATCCATCCATCCATCCATCCATTTTCAGATCCGCTTTATCATCACAAGGGTCGCTGGGGGTGCTGAAGCCTATCCCAGCCGTCTTTGGGCTGTAGGCGGAGGGACACCCTGAACTGGTTGCCATCCACGCTCACACTCACACCTGGGGACAATTTAGAGTGTTCAATCAGCCTGCAATGCATGTTTTTGGAATGTGGGAGGAAACCGGAGTACCCGGAGAAAACTCCACACAGGAAGGCCGCAGCCGGGATCGAACCTGCGACCTCTGCACTGTGAGGTCGACGCGCTAACCACTGGACCACCGGGCCACTCACATTCATTTCAAATTTTTGAGACTCTAATTGTAAGAAGCAATTAACTGCAGTTGTAACCAGTCGTCATTTAGGACACAAAGGTTTCATTTCATTGTCACAAAAGGGTAAAAAAGTTAAACGGTATAAAATAAAAAAAAAAAATTCAAAAAAAAGAGAAGAATGGCTATTTAATGGGTGTTTACTTAAAGTGTAAAAGATATCATGTCAAAAATAATTTGGGCGCAGTCAGGGAACAAAATACTTCTCTTTTATATAAATAGGAAGAAATGTAATGGGGGGGGGGAAGCAAATAGCTAACCATACATTTTTCAGGAAATGAAAGCTTCTCAAATAAACAACAGGATTTCAACAGGTAATTTGCGGTTCCCCATTTGCAACAAAACCTCATGTCGCTTGGGGTATGTCGAGGGTTTAAAATAATCTCTATTCACCGTGGGTCTTGAGCCTTAACTCCAATTAGTGGGGGGTTGACTGTACAATAAAATAACTATCTATTCACCTACACCAGAGAAAATATTTTCTTTTTCAGAAAACGAGGTTGTAAAGTCGCTCTTTTCATAGTGGCGTGATGTTCACAACAAGGGGCGCCATTTCAAACGAGTTACCAGAAGTTGAACTGCACTGTGTTTGTTCACAGACTAATGTGCGCCTCGGGGAATGAAGCATCGACCGGAACGTTCCCTAGTATTCACCACTTTGCGCACATCCGTAACATTGACTCCATACGCAGCTCAGCTCCGTCGCAGTCAACACGGCGGCAAACAAAAGAAACACAAAAGTGACTCGAACGAGGACGCCAACGTCAGCCACCCTCCAACATGAGCCCGACTCGCTCGCTCTGTGAATCAGTGAGAGGACGCCTGACTGCTAAAAACCACATGAGAGACCCTCAAAGGCCAGTTCGCCACTGCAACGGGAAACCCTCTGAAGCCACATCATTATTATCAATGGACCTATTGTCTGGCGAGCATTTGTGTGTGTCTGTGTGTGTGTGTGTGTTTGCGCATTCTATTACCAGGCTAGACTATGAATGCTACGTTAGCACTGCATGAGCACACAAATGGCCATTACTCTTGTAAACTGAACCGAGAAGATCAGATGACACTGTGTGTGTGTGTGTGTGTGTGTGTGTGTGTGTGTGTGTGTGTGTGTGTGCGTGCGTGCGTGCGTTCAGCTTTTATGTAAAGTCGAGTGAAGTTGCAAAATGGATACCTAAATTGCTGCCTTATTCACTGCAGTGGAAAATGTTTGGGATGCGCCCTATCAATACTGCAACATTAAATGGTAAACAAGAAAATATGGCGGCGGTTAGCGCGGCGGTCTCACAGTTCCGAGTATGGATCTCGGCCCCGAGCGTTTGAAAAACATGCACGTCAGCTTCATTGGATGAATGGATGCGAACACTATTCATTTATTACAAGTTGTTCATCTATCTATGCCAGCAACGTGTAGAGAGAGACGGAACGGTGAAATGATCTTCCACCGGGCGACAGAAAGGGCGGCCCGGTGGTCGACTGGTCGGCCTCACAGTGCAGAGGTCCAGCGTTCGATTTTGGGTCGAGGGCTTCCTGTGTGGAGTTTGCATTCTCTCCTCGTGCCTGCGCGGGTTTTCTTTTGAGTACTCCGGTTTCTTCCCACATCCCAAAAACATGCATGTTAGGTTGGCTGAATGCTATAATTGTCTCGAGGTGTGATTGTTGAATGTGAGCGATTGTTTGTCTATTGTGTGACCCGCGACGGGCTGGCAGCCAGTTCGGGTGTAGCCCGCCTATTGCCCTAAAACGGCTAGGATAGACTCAAGCACGCCCGCGATCCTGAGGATAAAGCGGTTCAGATTATGGATGGTTTCATTCACACAAAATGTCATTTTTGCTTGTGGATCTCCCATGTGACTTTTCTAATATAAAATATTGGGGATGCACCAATACAGATACCGGGACCAGTTTAGGGTCAGACGTACTCATTAAAATGCTCCGATACTACAAGACCCCATACCACTTCACCAGCATGACATATATATTTGGAGGCAGGATGTCTGGCATGGCACGGCATTATCAAGTATTAGTCCTCAGTATTGGCGAGTGCTCAAATGTATCTTCTTGTACTCAGTCTGTGAAGAGGTGGGTAGTGGGTGTTAAATGTGGTAATGACACATGCCTATAAAATGCGCCCTAATGGATCACGTTCAACTACAGTGGTTCCACTATGAGGTCGATATTTCTCAAAATTGCGGGCGCGCTGCCGCAAGTCTTACCTGAGCTGCGACTGAAGTTTGACTCCTTTCGTGACAAAGTCCTCCCACGTGGGATAACTGGCCTGCAGAAAAACAAACAGCGGGGTTTACACTCATCTCCGCGAGCAACAAGTTCATTTCAAACCAAATAATACCAACCAACAGCATTAGAAAAAACACGTAAACTGACAGGTGTAGGAACTGTTATCTGGCCAATAATTAATTAATTCCACAATCACGATACTGCTGGAAGGAAAAAAAAAACATCAAGTAATATTGCATGACTTCTTAGTGCTTTGGAAAGAAGCGAGTTTTTCCAGCAAAAAGCTGCAAAGGGGTTCCAAAGAGGAAAAAACAGGCAACTTGGTGAATAGTGAGCCACGACTATGTGCTTGATTAATTTATTGGAGAACGTGGGAGGCATGTGGAGAGGCGTTTGTAATCATAGCGCTTACGGGTCACACTGATGCGAATCAGATGCTATTATGCTTGTGAAGGAGCCACGCATATGACCGTGGTGGTGGGTAATTAAAAAACACACACACACACACACACACACACACACACACACACACACACACACACACACACACACACACACAAATGGAACATTTCATGTGGGGCGGTTGAGCGTGAGAACAGTGGCGCTTTTCAGGGCATTACAAATGGAGCCAGAGAGGATTGATCCACTCAACGGGCATGGAGCCGAAACTTTCATCATCAGGCAATCTGGAGTTTTGATGACTAATCAACAATGGAACAGTGCCGCTGTTGACAAAGAAAAAAATAAGAAGAAGAAAATAAATAACAGCTGATCAAGGATAGCTGCTCAACGTATGTAAATCGCAAAAAAAAAAAAATAATAATAATTAAAAAAAAAAATCAACACTCCCTAAAAATTATTTAGAATGGCCTATAATAATAGTTGAACCCATACATATGTCCCCGATTTTGTACCCATTTTGTTTTGGGTAGATTTACGGTTATTAACATCGGCAATTATTTTTTCCCAAGCCTTCGCAAATACAAATTGGGAGTTATTTTGGGTCATGGAAAAGAGAGCAGACAGACAAGGAGAGGGACTTGCGAGGCGTCCTTCAGGGGCCACAACCCGGTTTTGACTGATGATGTCATCCGAGGCTGCTGCGCAGTTCGCAGGGCAGGCGCCGAACTCAGCAGCTGCTCGGCTAGAACTCGACTCTCTGCAACCCGTCTGACCTCTGCCGATGCGGACGCTCGAAGATGCAACGCCTTTAACCCTTTCCCGCTGTGCCCCGAGCCTCTTAGCTGCGTGCCCGCCAAAGCCTTTTTTTTTTTTTTTTTTTTAGCTTGATGGAGGCAAAGCAATGGATAATCGGGTTTCTTCAGCATCATTTCAGTATCAAGCAAAATAATCAATTTTTTGTCATCATCATCATCATCATCATCATCATCTTGCCCAACTTTCACAGAGAGCGCCCATTCTGTGTTTGTGCCCTTTAAAAAAAAAAAAAAAGCCGAGTTTTACGTGCTTATCGAGTTTAAGTCTAAGAGTAGAGAGCCGGCATTTATCCGCCAGTGCCTTTCACACACAATCCCATAAAGTGTGACAATCACGTGTTCGCTTTTGTGCGGCGATCTCCACCGACCTTTAAAAATGCTCATCGGAAAGTGATGAGCGCCGTCAACCAGGCCAAGCGTGAGAAGTGAGACGCGGGTGTTAAACTTGACACCCCAGTCCTGACTTTCCACGACTCCCCTTTCACACAGCCGTCATTGCGCCTTGGCGTTTTCGGCTCTGATGCTTAAACAATCTCTTGAGAAATTGAGAAAATTCCAGTCGACAGCCACACAGGGTATGAAGCAAGCCTATTCATCAGCGGGGCCAAATACTGTGCTTAAGCGGTGATGCGATTTACCAGTAGATGGACGGGAGGGGTGGATCAGCTGATAGTCCAAATGTAATAAAATGCCGGCCATTGATGTCCCTTTTGCCAATTTGGCACGAGCCTTGCTTATTGACGGTGAAGGCTTCTGAAAAGAATCGTTGAATCACATGGGAGTGAATGCCGCTTCCCTCGCTCCTTCTCGCCTAAACTTCACATTCTACCCGAGTTTGTCGTGACCGCCAGGAATGTTAACAGTCCTTCGCCAACAGTGCAGCCGTGGGCAAGGCCTGTGCAGCCCTCACTGTGTGAAAACTCTCTTTTTTTTTTTCCATTATCAAAGCTTTGCTCAAGGACGATGCAGCCCATTCACAAATACTTTGGCAAAAAGGACAAACTGCAAGTCGGTGACGGTCCACTCAACTCCTTTGGTGCCAGATGATTCTACTCCAACTTGTTTGCGATTGACTGCTCGAGGTTAAAATGAGCGCGCGACCCTGGAGAGTTGAAGCAGCGCATCAAAACGGAGGGAGAGTTGCTTCTGAGCGCAGGCTGGCAATAGCGCTGACCTCTCGTATGCGCCAACCTCAAAGAGTACGCGGGCGCTCACGGGCTGAGCTATCAAAGCTTCTGCGTGCGGAGGGGGAATACTCCGAGCTGTTATCCAATCAGCCGAGCCGGTTTACTCTTAACGACTTTAGTCGGCGGTGCGTCGTCACCTGCCGCCGATAATCTGTTTGCTCTCGTGACCGACGACGAAGAGGGAGACTGAAGTGGGCGACATCCAAGAGTGACTGGCTGAAGAAAGATCTCATTAAGTTGTCGGGCAATGGGCGACCTGCTACGCCGCTCGGGATGACTGCAGGCTCTGTGACACTTATTTCCACTGAGCTCCACGGGGCGTTCCAGCTGCTATGAGAAGAGGAACCCGGCACTAAATTTAGAAGAAACCACAGTCTTGTTGTTCCTGACACGGCGTAGGAAAAATTGCGAGGAGTCTTCTGGCATTCTTGGTGAGGGAAGATGTGTGTGTGGGGGGGCGGGGG